AGATGTGTATAAGAGAACAGTATATATGTTTTGTGGTTGGAGTGTGTAACCTGGGTATGTGTGCTGGCATAGTGTAGTTAGTATTGAGTTTTACGAGTGAGCAGTAGTTTTAATAAATAGTGTATTTTATATTGGATTCCATATAATTTGTTGCTTGCTGTTTCATTTTCTAGCTGAAAGAACCTGGGTGGAAATTATTATTATTATTGTATAGAGAGATACATATACAGTATATACAGTATGTCCATATATCCAGTTAATGTTTCCCACAGCAGTGTTTTCCTGTACTCTCTGGACGACCGAAAATAACCTCTGAGGCTTATTAGACGACCGATTATTTCTTTTTCTATTTTTATTTTTTATTTTTTTTTTATCAGGGACAAGGATAAACCACCTTCTAAACCGTGCCTGTTATATATTTGGTAGAAAGATGGGGGTGGGGTGAATGTGTGTTGAATAATAATACACTCTATACAACGATATTCCCTGCTGTTGGATCATGATTTTTTCCTTATTTTCAGCAGCTTTAATTAATGGATGTCGACTTACTAAAATGTCAAATAATTATATCTTCCTTGTAAGGTTTACATCACCCTAAAACTAAAAAGAAAGCACAATCTTTCTTTTACTTCTTGTACTGTACTAACCAAACCGAGCCTCTGCTATCAAATGAATTCCTTGGCATACAGCTGCTGTAGCCTTATATACGGCAATGTATGCAAAATAGGCTCAAGATTGGACTTCCATCACCTTCATTTTCATTGGTCGTTCAATTTCTAATTTCCCACCAAAAGCTTTTTTCCCTCAAAATCTATGCGGACCGATAGGTAAGCACTCACTGTGATGTAATTGGTTGTGTACGAACTCGTATAGTGTAGCACTATAGCAGGTGTAGGCGGATCGATTTAGGCTAAGCCAAAATGTTTCCAGGCCGGACCAATATTATCCAAAATCAGTCCACCAGACAAATTTTAGCGGCTAAAATCCGTCCCCCGGACCAATTTTAGCCCGGACCAATTTTGGCGTGAAAGGCCCAACTTGGCTAGTGTACTTTGCATAGCCCTGTAGTATACGCACTGTAGGCCTATACTACTACTACTACAAATAAAGTTTACTCTCACTGATAATTACGATCGCAATATTGCTTGGTTGGCTATTTCAATCAGCAATAATAACTAGTGCCTACTATTCTATAGGCTTAGGCTACTAGCCCATAGTAATAACACTACAGTACTAGGCCTAGGCCTAGCCTAGTAGTGTGCCTATAAGTAGGCCCCTGCCCCTAGGCAGGTATTCGGGCTAGGCCCTAGGCCTAAGCCTAGCCTGGCCCTTAGTAGACCATTCTCCATGTTAGACCATGAAATACGCAAGAATAACAGAAAGGATTTTAACCCCAAACATTGTGATAAGCTCTAATTGAAATGCATGAAATGGCCCTGAAGTTTTACGACATAGGCCTAAATTTGATCGTAACTGTTCGCGCCAGTCGACTTCGCAAAAAAGCCAAAATCGAGTCGGTCATTTCTATTGGATAATCATAACGTAATATCATTTACCGTACCTTTAGCAATCGGAAGTTCAGATACGGTACCGTATTTCTAGCCGCGGCGTTAAACTTAATACTATTATCAGTTTAAAAGTAATACGTGTTACTTATATCATCGTTGAAACAGTTGAATATTAATGTTTATGTACAAAAAATGCATTAATTTAACACTTCGATAGTATGTAATTAACGCACAGCTACCGAATAAGCGCCGTTAGAATTAGCGCCACAGATAAGCCTCGACAACACTTATTTGGTCACTTAGGGTATGTAAACACATGCCATTAAACTGTTTGTTTTTTTGTTTTTTTTTTGTTTGTTTACAGGACTCCGAGCCGATGAATAACACAAAGAGTAAGTCCTTTTTCTTATTTGTTGAATCAGGCATGAAGGAATCTAGAATTTGAATGTTATTTATCTTATAGATTAAATTTCTTTGTAGTTGTAAACAAGCGTGAAAGGAGATCCAATGTTACGATTTACACTATGTTCTCAGGTCCTAGACTTTATATTTAATATGTTTACATACATGTATGGTTTGACTTCGGCCTAAACTCGTATTGTATTAGCATAGTATGATATAGTTATTTTATTTTGTGATTAGTAATAATAATAGTAATAAACTGTATTCATTCCACCACCTATGGACCGAAACCAAGAAAGCAATGCCAGTAAGAAGCAGGTCCGGTTCTAACTTATAAATTAATGCCTAAATAAACATCAAACGGATACAAACATGGTCATTAACTCGCCTAACAGGGTTTTTCAAAGAGCTGAGCGTTTTTTTTTTTGTTTATATGAAAGACCCGAATTTAATACTCAACACAGAGCCGGGTATCGAACCCGGGCCCTGGCGTGGAAGAGGCAGGAACCATACCAATTATTCAAACACTCAGCTCAAAAGACTACGACACTAGGATCCTGCTTCTACAGTAGAATATCAAGTACGTATCCTTATAGACTTGATTAACACTAAATTTTTGAACAACCTAATTATAAACGTATAACGTTTTTCCTCCAATTATATAGGAACTTCAACAGAAGATAAGGTAGAATATCATTCAAAGCGCGTGAAACTGGATACGGAATCATGTGCAAATGTGCCTAAAGGTATGACATAGTTTTGTTAACACCTGCAACTGTTTTTATAGGTTTCATGTACTGTTTCCTATGCCGGTTTATAAAATAAACCCCTATTATATATATTAAAATTGCATTATATTAATGTCAGTGCCTAAAAACACAAAATCAGTATAGCATTAACATTTTGAAGAGATTGTAGTAGACCACTGTTCAGATTTGTTTTTAGAACATCAAACAGAATTATATTTTTAGAAAAATATTTTTTCTAAGCAGGAGCTCGATATCTTGTTTAAAATACTCAATTGTTAAGCTTTAATTTAGTGTACAGTGGTTACCAGCAACACTTTAGAAACGTGATGGTTGAAAAGGACGCTGAACTATGGCCTAAGACAATAGTTAATTCTTAAATCCCAGTCCGACCAATTGTAAATAAAATATTTTAATTCAATTCGAATCAATCCAACAAAACATTTATTTTATCAAAAAGTTAACACAATGATCCTAACATAGAAGAAAACTTGTCTTAGCTAGTAATTTAACAGGATTTACGATCACAGAAAATGAAACTAAGAAGCAGCAGTAGAACCCAAACAATAAAATTGTTTAAAAATGACTTAAAAACTATATTTGGACGTATTTCTTCTATATTAGACTAAAAGTGTTAAATAAAGATCCAGATGGAGATAAATAATGAGAATTTGTCATTAATCCTATGAACTTTACCATACCGGTATTTCTAGGTGTCGGATCTGTTTCATAAAAAAAAAATAATAATAAAATAAAATAAGCAAAAGTTCGATTTGAAAAGAAATGTTTTAATGAGGATTTAAATATGTTGATTGAGCAGTCGTTTTATATGACTTTGGTAGATTATTTCATAGTTTTTTTTTTGGAAGGAGCAGAAAAAAAAACAGCCAAATATATATGTACGGAATTTATGAACCTCAAGATGGCGCTTTGATGACGATCTGAAAGATCATTTAGGGTGATGTTAGAAAATTAAATCAAATATACTGCGGAGCATTGTAACCTCTTATTTTAGTAACTAATGGTTGTGTCCTCAGCAAATGATATTATATAAATTGATAAAAGTAATATGTAGGCCGAAATCATTAACATAAGTTTGCAAAAATTGAAATTCAAAGTGGCCGCCACTTAATTATTTTAAGTATTTTTGGCATATATTTAATTTATGCACTTAATGACTTAACTAGGCCCATACAACCTAGCATCTGAAGTGGAATGAATTGCAAACATTAATTTTAATTTTAAAAACACTGATGCAGGGTTGGTCAAATTGAGAAATTATATATTTTGTTAGTGTTATTTTACAAATTAACTCACATATTTTAATTATGGATAGCGATACAACATATCTTGGCAACCACTGGTCGTACACATTCTTTTTTATTTGATCAAAACATGCACATAATATGTGCATTTTTTAAACAAATAAATCTATTTGCCACATTGTAACATTTGCTCAAACAGTGGCCAGAAATGCCAGTTTTCGACCTTTGAACCTATTTTGCAAGTTTTCATTATCTAAGCCAATAATATTTGGAATTTAAGTTATTCTGGTGAAGTTTTTCTCTAATTCTTATTTATTGGTCCTTTTGGAAACTTGTAACTTTTAACTATGAATGACATTATCAAAGCTATTAAGGTTAAAGCTTATTAAAATTAATACAAGACGACTCTTATCTCTATTTGGGAATTGTTTTGTACAAGTCACCCTAGCCATGTTCTCTGATCCAGCAGGTCACTTTGCAATTTTGTATTTGTCTTTATAACGACTGGTCGTCGTGACTTGATTTGGTCTCAAACTCCCCACAAATTATGGGCTTCTTTAATATTATAGTTAAAAGAAAATCGTTCTCTGGAACTTTCTTTGCTTACAAAGAGTATACATATCTTGCCGCAATATTTAGAGCACAGTCAATGACCATTGGTGGCGCTGTTCTTCTTTCGCACTAACGTGTTTGCTGTTGCTCGCCAGGTGCGAGTTTTTTTTTTTTTTTTTTTTTCTACAGATAAGTTGAGCCTGTTTATGTTGTTTCACAAGAAACATTTTTCTTCCACGACGGATAATCTTTGCGCTCTGTGCTTTTTAGATTTTATCTTATTATCTTTTTACAAGAATGGAGATTGTGGATTGTGAAAGTGTCAATCAAAATCCTTGCAGTATATATGGCAAAATATAAAAAAACCGCAAATAAAAACCTTCCTTTTCGCTCGGACAATCCAGTTTCACAGATATAATTATTATGCAACACCCACAATTGTCAGTCTTCAGTATGCAACCAAAATAAAAAATAAAAACAAGCCTGTGATATATGGCTATATGGCTCTTATGTAAAACCATAAACACTACAAAAAGGAAGACACTTTTACTGAGTGCAGTGCATAATACAGTTACCGTATTGTTATGTAATCAATGACGAAAAGTAAAAATTGAAATACAACAACAAATAGGTCATCATTCGACTATGATAAATTTAACTAAATTGCTGACCCTACAGCAAATTATGCAATGGTTATTTGTACCAGTTGCAACTAAAAGAAGAAGGATATGTAAACATACGTATTTCGGCTGATTTTGAACGGTTTTCCTTTGTACCATGACAGTATTATGATTAGTGAACATGAACGTTAACATTTTCTGGTTTTGTAACCTTTTTTTACAGCTTTTAAAAATTTAACTTCCCGGTGTCGTAATTACGGTAATAATACGCAAGTGAACGTTTAGAAAAAATATAAACAAACTAGAAATGAACTAAAGTTAAAGGCAAAGAAAGCCTAATAATATAGTTATGCAAAGAAGTTGTTCTCATCTCCTGATAGCAAACGTAAATTCTTGGGTCACGTAAAAATTGAATGTTAATCTTTTTGTACTAATGTTTTTATGTTGTATCATTCAACGGAAAATAATATGAAAACAATACTGATGTGCGCAGTGTTTCCAAAATGTGCTTTTGGAAACAGAATATGCCGTTTGTTAGGCTAAAAGCGTTCCAGAACACCCTTCACCTTGTTTTTATCCAATCCCTACATTAGCCAATGGAAATGTCTCGATTGAAAATGAAACAGGTATGTTACAGAGGCTTCAAATCGATAAGGCTGCAGGCCCAGACAAGTTGTTTCCTAAGCTTCTACAACTGTGTAGCCCAACTGTTCCCGGTACTCTGCATGTTATTTATAGTCTAACTTTCCAATAGTTGTGTACTAAATTGATGGAAGGGCACATGTTACCACTCTTTTTAAGAAAGGGGATACTGCAGACTTAACCAACTATCGACCGGTGGCCTTAACATCTGTTGTTGGTAAACTGTTGTAGAGGTTTGTGGTAGAAAAGCTTCTGCAACATGCTCTTGAGAATTGTCTGCTTAATTAAAACCAGCATTTGTTTTACCCAAAAAATCATACCACACAACTTGCTTATTATTATGATTAATAATTGGTCAAAGGTTTTAGACCAGAAATCCCCTCCTCATTCTGATTTCCGAGTGGACTGTAGTAACAAGCAGCGTACCCCCAAGGAAGTGTTATCGATCTTATTCATTTTAATTCTTTATTAATGATATCAGTTGTTCACGTAATTGTAAATCTGCTATTTTTACCAACGATACTTTTATTTATCGTTTATCATCTCTCCTTAAGACTCAAGTACACTTCAAGCTGATCTGGACAGACTTTATTTATAAAGTCAAGCAAACCGCATATATACCTCTAAGACAATGTTCTTCATATTACCAGATCAAGCAATTAGCAATTATTTTTATACTCTATGTCCGACTGTGATATTTCACCAGTGTCATCCATTAAATGCCTCTGAGTGACTTTAAATTCTAAATTAACTTTCGATGACCATGTCCATACTGTTGTCTTTAAGGATAAGCGTATACTCCGTTTTATTTGGAGTGTGGCTGGCTGGATGCTTTTATTTATCTTTATAAGTGTTTTGTTTTACCAGGCCTGGAGTATGCCCAACCTGATTCGTTTCAATGGACCATAGAAGAGCAAGCGGACTTGCTCTCAATCAGCGCCAAGTGAGTTTGGGGAAAGATTAAGATCATTGACATTGTCGCCCTTATCAGTAAGAAGGGATAAATTTCTTGTAATTTTTTTTTTCAAGTGTTGGTAGGCATCTTGGTCTGCAGCACTGTTTTCATTTGTATAAACATCAACCCCAGGCATACAGATCGCCTGTGATTTTTACATCAGAAATCCAGACTCAAGTTGTTTCCAGTCGGCCACCATTAAACTGCTTAGAGATTGGGAAAAGCTTCCTTGAACTTTACATGATGCTGCAGTTTGTATAGCCCATATTCTTTTCTTCTAAACATTCATTATCATTTTGATTTTTTGCTTTTGTGATTTTTTTTTTCATTTTATTACTGTATCTGTGATTGGGGATAGGCCAACCAGCACTGCTACATATTTTTGTACTTTTTAACAACATAATGAAACGAAATGAATGGGAGTAATAGAGTAATAACAATATAATAACTAATTCTGCAATAGCAACACAAATATTGTAAGGCCTGCATAAAAATTAATTATAATCTCATATTCATTTTGTTATTACTGTATATGCAGAAACACTAACCTTACTGTGTATACAGTGCTTCGATTCCTAGTCAGTCACACACACACACACATATCGCTACTCCACAGGTGACGCCAAGACCTTGACCTACGATTATGCATGACGTACTGTTTACTTGTTCTGGTTTGCTTAGAACTTTCAATGGGCTCGACTTACCTCTAGAAGAAAAAAAAACTCGCTCGTCGGGTTGTTTAAAATCTGCGTTTATTTTTGTATTTTGGTGTCGTTTTTGTGTTGTATCCTGTTTGCTGTTTGTTCTTGTGCTGTAAACCTGATTTTTAGTTGGTGTTTTGTACAAATAACCAACAATCAGTCCAGACAAATTCATTGTGCAACGTTTACAAGGTCTAACTGAAAGACATCTATGCTAATCAACTACGGCTGTGATCAATCCAGGCATAGACCTGTGTTTTAGGCATTCATTACACCTGGATTTGGATTTGGATTTATTCGGTGTAAACTCCAAGGACAGCCCACGAAAGTCAAAAGAAGACTCATTTCCAGTGGGGTCCTTCTGATGGTGATTGGGCAGTACACCAGGAGACAATCCTTTACTCTTTTCCGAAATGTGTACTGCGCTCTTCAGCGTGCACATGGGCCATAAATGCACACGGAACCAACGCCTTAAACATCTCATTCGAAAGACATTGCGCCATTGTAACGGTTCAGCGCACACACAGTAGCTGCCACATGATTAGCCGACTGAGCTAAGCTGCTCTCTCTAGTGGCTACGTGTACATTATTATTTCGTTCCCGCGAAATACTATGTCGTTCCCACGAAATATTTCGTTCCCTCGAAATATTAACAAACTGAAAGAGATTTTACTTAAGAACTGTTGTCCAATATAATAAATACATTACTTTCCTACTACGTGGCAAATAGACTTAATCCTACGTGTCAAGACGAAATATTTAGTTCACTAATTGTCGTATGTTTGAAAATAAATGGTTTATTTCATTAAAATTATGTTAATCTTTATTTTCATTTGGTTCTATTATTCATGATTTTTTAGATTGTCTTTCATATCGTTCTCAAAGGTCTGAAAAGCAGCATTCATAAGTAACTAATAAATAAAGAAGGAAGTAGCTAAAAACAAAAATTTTTCAAAAAGACATGGTACTACGGTAGCTTTGCCTAGGAAGAGTTTAAATATGTACGCAAAATAAATAAAATACCTTTGCAAAAAAACCGTATTATAATTATGTTAATAACTTTTTACAGGTGATAAGACTAGGAAGGCTTTTTGGCGTTTTGTAAGAGAGAGTAAGAGATCTTCTGCCCCTACTTCATTTATTGTAAATGAAGTCAAAACTACACCTGCTGTGGTATCTAATGCTTTTAATGACTACTTTGCTTCAATCTTTAATCCCTCTTTTCCCTCTACTTCAGATCCCCTGCATGTCATTTCCAGATACCTGCACTTTCTTCAGTGACTTTCAACAAAGAGTATATCCAGTCATCTTTAATCAATCTAGATATTACAAATGCCCCGGTCACGACTCCGTTCACCCATTAATTCTCAAATCGGCTTCAATTGTATCGGCATTTCCCCTCTACAACATTATTTCAATTATCTATATTTAGAGGAACGATCTCTTAAGCATGAAGAGTTTCTGAATCACATATAACTCCAATCTTCAAATCTGGTGAAAGTCATGTATCAACAATTATCGTCCAGTTTCTTTCACACCAATTTGCTATAAAATCCTTGATAGGTTTATCCATTCTGCAATATTTAGACATATCTCTATCCACTTATTAAGTTCAAACATGGGTTCTATCCTTCTCGTTCCTGGGTAACACCTGTGTAACAAATATTACAAATCTTTTTCATCAATCAACCCTCTGCCCTTACGAGTTGATGTAGTTTTCTTAGATTATGCTAAGGCTTTCGACCAGTTTCCTCATATTCTTGAATTAAACTTGCAACACAATTCAACATCACCGGTAATGTTGCGGAAATGGTTTCGTTCATTTCTACAAAATCGTACACAAAAAAAGTTCAGGGAGATATCAGTCAACCTCAACTTGTTTCATCTGGTTTCCCACAGGGGAGTGTTTTAGGCCCCTGTTATTTAATCTATTTATAAAGATCTTGCTAACTCTTAAATCTTGTGCACTATTTGTGGATGACACTATACTCCTGTACAGTCAAAAAGAAGAGATTAAACTCGATCTAAAAACCCTTACCTACCAACCTATTATATGAGCAATGTACCAATCCAAATTGTCCTTGTCCATTCTCATCTTGGCATTACTATCAATTACACAATAACTTAGGATGAATACGTTCAAGGCATTGTTAATCGTGCAAACTGCATCCTTGGTTTCATTTCAAGTATTGCTAGTGGTACATCATCCCAAGCTATATTCTCTCTTTCCCGATCACTTGTTGTTCCCATCATTGAGTATGGTACTCCAGAATGGCTTCCTCACACAAAAAAAGCTTATAGAGAGGACAGAAGTAGTACAAACAGAGCCACAAGACTTGATTTAAAACAAAAACGTGCTGCAATGGAATGCGACGTAAGATTTGTAAATCGCAGCCCGAAGAAAGTACCTTCTATTTTCTTTCATTTGTAAATCTCTCTTTGGTAAAATTGATTGTTCTTCTGTTCATGAACACATTATTGTCAACACTATCTACCATTATATGCTACATTTTAAATATATTAAAGCAGCTAATAGCAACTGCCTTAATTTCTCTGCTATTCATGCATTTCCAAGACACTGGCATTCTTTACTAAACGCTCTTAAAGATTCCTTAACTATCGGCTCTTTTTCTGTCTTCTTAAACAACCTAAAATTTCACTTATTCTCCTCTTAATTCTAATGTCAACTATCCTCATTCCCCCTAAATTTTTCAAATCTTCTGTATGGGCGCGAGTGTGCATTTTTTTTTCAATAATTATTCTATGAATAAGGAAAAAAAGAAGATAATCTGAAGGTCAGGAGTCAGATGTCAACAGCAACTGAAGAGTATACAGAAATAAAGAGACAGTTTGAAGAGCAAAGTCCTAAAAGAGGGGAATCACACAAAGCTACAAGTGTTGAATCCAGCATGGAAATATGGGACTTTGGTGGGCAATTAGTCTACCATAGCGTACAGCGGGTAGGTCTACCTAAAATCTAGATTTAAATTCACATAGTAAAATTACATAACCTGATATTATACGTTTCTTCATTTATCTACTATCACATACTGCTAGTTGTTTTCATTCTTCTTAGTGAAGCTTTGAATACACTGTCATGTATTGACTAACATGCTGTTAATAATATATTACATATTTTGGAAGAATACAGAAACGTTACTTTTTAAATTTTACCCATTTGGAAACTTTGATAATAGGAACAGATGTTAATGATGATAATGATGATTATGATGATGACGATGATGATGATGATAATGATGATGATGATGGTGATGATGATAATAATGATGATGATGATGATACATCACGTGTTTTGTTAAAATAAGTACTAAGGATATTTTTCATTTACTTCTGAAATTTTGATACAGGTACATAGTTAGTGAAATGAGTTTGACCTAGTTGAGAAATCTACAAGCGTTTTACAATTTTTTTTAATAAAAAAAAAATCTTTTTTAGCTTTTTCTGACACCTGCAGCAGTTTACTTTGTGGTCTTGAAACTTACTGATGACCTTGATGCACCTGTCAAAATCAGCGATGCATGCAGTGTAAATATATATTTTTTAATTTTAATAAATTAATGGATAACCGTGATTAAAATTATATCTAAAGGTCAGATTGTGCTGAATTAATAATTAAAACGTTGATTAAAAATAATTAAATGTTGAAACTAATTTTGTGTATTCAAGTAAATTATTAGGTTGATGATTGGAATTCTTATTATGAATGTAAGTGGCATGTGATGTTATGACTCTGTTGCATAATGACCCTGATTGTTAGAGTACAACTGTATTTTTGCATGTAAATATATTTTATTTTAAAGTGTAATAGGTAGGTTTCCAATGACAGTAATGCCCACATAATACACATTATGTTCCCCTAATGCAATATAATTGGGCTGGGAGAACTTTTGCATTGGAACATTTACATTATTACTCCGTAGTCGTTTGATCTTCTTCTCGAATGACTACGTTGCTAGTGTGTATGATATTGCTTATCAGTGTGGTAGAAAATTCAAGAGTAGGATACCTGATATGTACAGAGGACCAAATTGACCAGTACACCAGGTACTGGGTTTTTTTAAGTGCACACTTATGAGTGTGTGAGCGTAGAGCCAATTGTGTACAATGAACCTACGGTTTAGAGTCCTTATTATAGAAGACTTGTTCCACCACCGGAACCATGCATTAGTATGGCTGTATGTCACATTTGCCCTGTCTTAACTGCTAGGCCAATCGACTCGCCAGTCATTTGTTTATAGAAAAATGTAAATAATGTTCACCTTCTGCTATGACACAGGCAATGTGTCTATTATCATGATACTAAAACGTGTGATCCCTTAATTGAAACGTCATATTTATACCTTTGTATATAATATTCACCCTTGTATTAATAAGTTAAGCTATTAAGGAAAAATGTAATAATAATAATAATAATAATAAACATAATAATATCAATAGTATTAATATTTATAAAATTCATAACAAAAAACAATTAAATCCATTGCACATTACGGCTTATCCTGTCTTAGTTCAAACATGTTTTTTGTAGCTTTTTATGTTTTTATATGATGTGCTTTTACTTAATTGCCAAAGTCAGTTTTTGCATCTTATCTTTTAACCCCTTTTTAAATGTTACTGTTGTTCTCAATTGATTTTATGTAAGAATTGTGATAAGATTATCACAATTCAGTTTTTATTAATAAGTATATATATCATTATGAATGACTGACTGAATGAATGAATGAATAAATTGTATTTCATGTTTGAAAATATTTGTTACTAATCAAGTGTGATAAATTCCAAAATACAGAATGTTTTTACGGTCATTTTTATAATTCACAGGTTCCATATTATAGCAACATGACGAATCTGGAATTCCTACTCTACCTGATTCGCTCAATTTTCACACATGCTGTGTCATTAGGTGATGATTGTGAAGAGGAGATAAAGACTCCAAAAGTCTTTATTGTGGGTACACACAGAGATTCAATAAGTTCACATGAAGATGAAATAGAAGAAAAGGTAAATGGTCATAAATAGTTTTAAACGTGTTAACCAACAAACACCAGATCACCAAAATGAACCTAATGAAAAGGATAGTGAAAGCGCCATAGAATTAACAGTCACGAAAACGAGTTCAAATTTCCATAAACCTTTATTGAACGCCGAGCCACTTCTGCCTCTTTCAACTCACCAAGAGTAATGTTTCCTTTGGTTACATCTTTCTTGAGATGTGCTTTTCTTATTCTCAAAAGCAATACCGTCGCCCACTTCAACCGGTGCCATGACGAATAATGCTTCATGAACAACTCAATAATGTCAGGTTGATATAGCTTCCCGGCACATGTCTCCATTGTTTTGGCTCAGAACATTCGTGAATAGTTTTTATTCTGTTTGATACGAATACACTAAACCTAGTCTTTGTGTTATTGATGTAATTCAGGACAAGAGTGCTGTCTGTCCACTAGTGTGTACTACTAACTGGAATGTCCATCTCCTTTGCGATTATATTCGCACTCAGCACGTGTGGCTGCCACGGCAGTTTCAATATAGACAATAAGTAGTGAGCCCTCTGTTGGTCACTATTATACATTTTAGATATTCTCGTAGTTGGGGGCGCTAACGCGGAAGCGATAATTTCATTATTCTCCATATATGGGTTTTTAAATGACCAACCAACAGGTTTAAAATTAAAAAACATAATGAATATTCATGATATTATCGAAGAAGACATGCTAAACAGTTTCGTAGTATAACATAGGTACGATGTCATGGCTCCTGATTTTACGTGTGAGTATTTGAATTTATTCCATGTTTTTTACCCAAAACTTCAGAAAATCTGGCATGTAAAGTTTACATGGCTATAAATAATTTTTGCAATTTTTTGAAACATTTCCACTTGCTCCATGTTATTACTATTTGACTTCTGCATTATCC